TCTTCCAGAGTTCTAATATACACACAAACGTTCATTTATTTACATATGTATTGAAAAAAAACAATAATAGAATCAACAAACATGCCAGATTATCCAATAGCAACTAATATAAATTATAATACACTGTTGTATTTTTTACATCCAGATTTCCTACTTTTCCGGTGGATTTTCCTAAAAACCTGCTCTTGGCAATTATGAACATCTTAAAAAAAATGTGAGCCAATTCGGACCAGCTATTCTCGAGTTTTAGCGAGACTAACTAATAGCAATTCATTTTTATATAATATATAGATATAGATTATAGTCACTTGCGCTATAATAACTAATAAGTATAATATAAAAAAAATTATTTTTATTTTTTAATACTGAAAATAAAAAATATGAAACAAATTCAAAATAGCCAATTTGAGAATCTGATTATATGAACAATTTTGATGGCAAAAACATTTATCTAAGTCATGTAGTTTATTTTTTAGAATTTTTTTAAATATCAATATTTTTTTGATTAAATTAATTAAATATTATTTTTGGAAATTTGCTGACACGAGTATATCTCTTAAACTATTTACTAATCATATAATTTTGACAATTATTTTCATATGTTTGAATAGCAGATATTTTTTTTTTTGGCAGGTCTTCCTGTTAAACCTGTATATAAAAATTAATATTTGTCTACCCGTGTGTGTGTGTCCTTTATGCATTCCTGAATAGTGGGATCAATTGCAATGAAATTTGGTACATAGATTAGACTTTTGAAAAGGAGATAGGCTGTTTAAAAAAGGGTAAATTAGAAGTAACCCGAATAAATTTGTTTTTTATAAACTCTTTACGTGATATATCATTTTGAATGTATTTCTTGTGGTGAGTTCGATTCTATAGTTGGTCGTTTAATAATAATAATAAATTAACATGAACAATCTTACAATCAATCAAAGGTAAATTTCTTGAAAATGAAATCCAATAAAATATTATACCAAATATATAATATAATTTATTACTTTATTAGTATATAAATAAAATCCAAATATAGCCAATAGTATATAAAATATAGACAGTCTCAACAAAACTGAACAAAGCATAATTTTTGGAAGGGGGGGAGTTACCAAAATGTTTTTTCCAGACTACTCAACACCTGTATTCACCAATATTAACCTGAATAATAGCCGTTTATAAACCCGAATGTTTGTTTAAACTTTTTATTCCGGTGTTTGAACACCCGAATACATCCAGCAACCAAAACAAAAACTAGAATAAATGATTTGGGTGCTAAGCCCTGCCAAATAGTGATTCCTAAAGAACACTAGAAGCTTTCTAAAAATATTTAGTAAGATTTCACTAGAAATTCATCAATTTTTTTGGAACTACAATCAAACTTTAGGAAATATGTTTAATTTATTACCGCTTTTAATAGTTTTAAAGTTATGCAAACAAGAAAATATGTCATTTTTCGCGAAGTAATGATATGTATAAAATTTGTATGTATTATAAAAATTTAAAAATTATAATATGCCTTAACTCCTAAAATATGTATCAATATGCAAAATAAAATTTTGCCTATGAAATCAGTTTGATTTTAAGCGTCCACATTTTATAAGCTCAGTTTGAATATGAAAGTTTCTACAATTCTAATCTCTAGTGATCTATATATATAAAAATAAGTGTACATTTTGAATAAATTTTATAACTCAAGATCCACCAAACCGATTTTGATAAAAATTTCAGGGCATATTAAGATTGATATTTAGATGGTTTCTGTGAAGTTTGTATGCTGTGCAATAAAGTTGTTCTGGAGTTATAGCTTCTTAAGTGCACACTAAATAATAAATAATAATAATAATACAAATAAAGTTGAGGATTAAAATAATAATAGTGTATTGTATATTGTTTGCTATTGGTTACGGGCACCTTTGTTGATTTGTATTATTTTTTTTTGTCAATATATTACATATATTATATTCTAACTATATAAATTTGAAATGAAAATCTTTGTAAAGGGTCAACTCTGGAACTACTTATCAGATCTTCTTGATTGTTTTTAAACGAAAGAGTATATCACGGAAAAGGTTCTTATGAAACAAATTTAAACACCGGATATTAAATAACGAATTGAACAAAGTTTGAGTCATATAGAGTTGACGTAGGCATGCACAGCGGGATGCTGGGTATGCCATGGAATCCCCTGCAGAGTTATCATAACCATATAGTTTTTAGTTGTAAATGTTTTGATTATAAATTAGAATCATGAACTAATAGATAGTTCATAGTATCTTAGTTCAAGAATTATTTAAATATTTTCATTATTTTTTTATACCTATTATTTTCTTATAATAAAATATTGGGAGTTGAGACAAAATCAAATTTAATAACCACCACAGGTACTTATAAATAATAAAATATATTGCTAACTAATATTAATATAGTTGAAATCAAAATCAACAATTTGCTTGAAAATTGCGGGTTTTTGTCACCAGAACATTCAGGCCCCTACGGTATTGATTATTTTCATACTACATTACTACCTACAATACTATCAAAAATAAAAGAATTTCGATTAATTAGATTATCATTTTCTGTTATTGTTATAATATAATCAAATGTCTGTAGGTTCTTATACTGTTACTTTATTGGAATGAAATCACAGCACAAGCTTTTCAGATTAAAATATCTAAAACCAATAAATAAGCTAAATAAAATGCATATTAATTTATTTTCGAATTATATGGCAAGTTATTAGTACATATTAAGAGTTTTTGGGGAGTTATTTTTTGTATTGAGCTAGGTATGTTTAAAAATACCAGCATACCCTGCGAAAAAAGTCTGCGCACGCCTATGAGAGATGGTACATTTAAGGGGCAACAAAGTGCACGGGTTAAGCTGGTAATAATATATAAAACAGTTGTAATTTTAAATATTTGTTGTATATTATAAAACTAATAAGAGAAATCGAAAAAGTAAACAAAGACAAAATTATTTTTATTTTCGGGTTACCTGTTGTCCAACGTTGAGGTTTTCAAAATGTGTACCTATCACAGGGTTAAATTTTGTGCTTGTACCACCAGCTGATGTTGCTCCAAATCCTGATGTAGCATGTCCTGTAAAATATTTGCATATAATGGATAACATCTATTTAAAATAGGTACCTAAAGTCTAGCAATTGTAATTTAAATTTATTTACATATTTATTACATTATTTTCATTAAAACTCATAAAAAATAAAAAATGTTTTATTAATATTTTTTCTAAAAGAGAGAAATAATTTATGAATGAAGTTATTCAAATAAATTAATTAATCTACACATAAAAGTCTAGTATGATTAAGAGGAAGTCATATCATAAGAATATGTGTTGTCTCTGTGTTAGTAACATTTAGAAAATTTTACGTTCAGAATAACTGATTCAACAAAAAATATTAGTCTTGATTTAACTAAGATAAATTATGGCAACCTTATTATAAATATCCCAACACTACCTATATATTATGTTTATATTATGTATTACCAGTAGTAGATGCACCAAAGATTGAGTTGCCTGCAGTGTTGGTTTGAGGTGCCGAGAATATATTAGTAGTTGGCTCCGCAAATGGTGTTCCAACTAATTTTGATTGTCGAATGAAAGTTCTGGAATTACCAAACTCAAAACATCCATCTCTTGTTTTTAAACCCATTGAAGCATTTTGTTGGCCAAATAACCCTCCATTAGATGTTGAGGTTTCTGCAGGAGTTCCAAACAATGAACAAGTTCCATCTGCATTGAAACCTAATAAAATACATCCATTTCATCTGTTCTTTTACAAATTAACTCTAAATAATAAACCTTTAAATATTGGATGAGCGTTAGTTGACTGACAACTTTTACCAAATACAGGCGCATCAGCAGTAGATCCAAAAATTTCCGTAATATGCTGTGTAGTCTGATTCGATAATGATGTAGTCTGTGTTTGACTCAACACTGCAGGTGCTGTGGGCTTACTACCAAAGTTACACTTACCAAATTCTGGCGTATTCCTGGCCTTATCACAAAATTCGCCTGACTCAGAACCTTTCATATTTGGTTGAACATAATATAATATATCAAATTATGTCAGTAAACATTGTGTATATAGAACATTTAAATATAAATACTATTATAGTCAAAACAATTATTATTTTAACAAATTTCTTAAGAGGACGTCATACTTACATGCGTTGTCTTGTTGTACAAACATATAACATAGCAAATAGACGTATTGAATAATTCTCTTAACTCTATTATGTTTAATTTTTGAGCGAATTGACCTATTACCTAATTTAGAAATAATAATATTGTAATATTAAGGTCATCAATATAGGTTTTTTTTAAAAATATTTTTACTTTAAAAATGGGTTATATGCAATTTAAAATTTACCTCCAGACAGTTCAATGTTTTAAAATGTTCATAACTCAATGTAAAAAAAAAAAATAATAAAAATCTAATGGCATTGACAATCAACTAGATAATATTCGTAGTTCTAAATTTGGTAAAAGATTAATTTACTCTAAAATTGAACATAACTGAGTTCAGTTCATTATACAGAACCTACAATTGTCTATGTTATACATTTCTAAGACAGAGACTATGTATGGCGTCTTTCTAACGTATGGACAATAATAATGTAATAAAATTACAAGTAATAACAAAATAATTTAACCACTCACCTATCCCTGCTTTAGAAGTTAATGATGCAGTAGGAGTTCCAAACAGTGAACAAGTTCCATCTGCATTCATACCTAATAAAATACTTTCATTTCATCTGATCTTTTACAATTGTTGGTAAATAATGAGGGTTTTTAGATATGATTAAGAGTGCTGACCATTGTGTGTAGTATATTTGTTACCACACATAATAAGTTAACACGGATTGTTGACATTGGAATAGTAATATTTTTCCAATAAAAAATTATACAACAAATATTTGTCCTGGTTTAGGACTTAGGTAAAATATAATAAGGCAACCTTATCATTAATATCCCAACACAAATGTTTATGCATTACCAGTAGTAGATGCGCCAAAGACTGTGTTGCCTGCAGTTTGTTGGCCAAATAACCCTCCGTTAGATGTTGATGTTTCTGTTGGAGTTCCAAACCGTGAACAAGTTCCATCTGCATTCATACCTAATAAAATACTTTCATTTAATCTGATCTTTTACAATTGTTGGTAAATAATGAGCGTTTTTAGATATGTTGAAGAGTGCTGGTTATTGTGTGTAGTAAATTTATTACCATAAATAGAAAGTTAACACAGGTGGTTGACATTGGAATAGTAAGAATTTTCCAATATAAAATTATACAATAAATATTTTACTTGGCATAAGTAAAATATAATATGGCAACCCTATCATAAATATCCCAACACTATTGATTATGTTTATCGTTTATATATTACCAGTAGTAGATGCGCCAAAGACTGTGTTGCCTGCAGTTTGTTGGCCAAATAACCCTCCGTTAGATGTTGATGTTTCTGTTGGAGTTCCAAACCGTGTACAAGTTCCATTTGCTTTCAAAACTAATAAAATACTTTCATTTCATCTGATATCGTACAAATTAACTCTAAATAATAACCTTCAAATGTCGGGTGAGCGGTAGTTGTCTGACAACCAAATACAGGCGCATCAGCAGTAGATCCAAAAATTTCCGTAATATGCTGTGTAGTCTGATTCGATAATGATGTAGTCTGTGTTTGACTCAACACTGCAGGTGCTGTGGGCTTACTACCAAAGTTACACTTACCAAATTCTGGCGTATCAGAACCTTTCATATTTGGTTGAACATAATATAATATATCAAATTATGTCAGTAAACATTGTGTATATAGAACATTGAAATATAAATACTATTATAGTCAAAACAATAATTATTTTAACAAATTGCTTAAGAGGCAACAAACATACTCACATGCGCATACTCACATGCGCATACTCACATGCGTTGTCTTGTTGTACAAACATATAACATAGCAAATAGACGTATTGAATAATTCTCTTAACTCTATTATGTTTAATTTTTGAGCAAATTGACCTATTACCGAATTTAGAAATAATAATATTCTAATATTAACGTCATTGATATAGGTTTTTTTTTTAATATTTTTACTTTAAAATGGGTTGTATGCATTTTAAAATTTACCTCCAGACAGCTCAATGTTTTAAAGTGTTTATAACTCAATGTAAAAAAAAATAATAAAAATCTAATGGCATTGACAATCAACTAGATAATATTTGTAGTTCTAAATTTGGTAAAAGATCAATTTACTCTAAAATTGAACACAACTGAGTTTAGTTCATTATACAGAACCTACAATTGTGTATGTCTTACATTTCTAAAACAGAGACGATGTATGGCGTCCTTCTAACGTATGTACAATAATAATGTAATAAAATAACAAGTTATAACAAAATAATCAAGCTACTCACCTAACATTTCATACATTTAAGTCTGAAAAACCTTAAATTCAAAATCGTAAGATTCTTATGTTATATTTGAGAAATATCATATATTAGAGACACAGACAATCTAAAATAATAAACCAACAAGAAACTTCGTCAAGACAATCCGAATGAAAAACAGGTAGCTGAAGTATCAATGAAGATTCAAGATTCACGAATCCCGCGTAATGAGCACGTTGTAAAAGTCACAACTTCCCAAGGATAAAACCATGACAAAAATTTTCACAAATTTTTTGTCATGGATAAAACGGTGCTAGTGTAGTACACTTGTCTATCATGAACATTGAACGGTGTTAGTGTGTTACCATAGAACAGGTGTTACCACTTACCGAATTGACTTTGGAGCCCATCGGCATTCGGTATCTGATAAGGTGTGAATGAAACGGACAAATTTGAAATTACACTATGGAATGAAATGACTATTGACCACGATTAAAGATATATCTTTAATCGTGCTATTGACTACCAATAATTAACCAGTGGCGCTCCAAGCTGCAGTATTACAATTAACGGATTATAATAAAAAAGATAATATTAGGTTAGATTAGTCAATATTTACTATTTAGACACATAATATGGTTGAGTGTTGACGCTATGGATGTATGAAGGTATACCACGATATACAGGACTGTACACGAGATGAATATTGTGGTTATGAAAGACTGAAAGAGTTCGGTTACGAGTTCGGGGGAATATTTTCCTTTTAGCATTGCTAGCCCTGTCTTGGTGGATACTTATGGAACTCGAACACATCATACAAATTTCTAGTTCCATAAGTATCCACAAGTATCCACTAAGACGGCGCTAGTTATGCTAACCCCCCACACCCTCCAACCATGACGTGTCCAGACCTGTATATTATTGTTCCATGATATTATCTTAATCCTTGATTCTAACCATGAACTACTACACAGGACTGGACACTATTGGCAGGAGGAGAGTAGGGGGGTCGTCCACAAAGTTGTACATATTCGGTACACATGCGACACAGCGCCATCTGTGAGATAAGAAATATTTTGTTATATAAAATGCCGCCTTAGTAGTTCATGCTTAAACTGTTCACTCTTTAAGCAGTAATTATATTCTGATAATATTCTATAAATAGTATCATTATTATCTTGAACTGTGTTATTAATAATTGTTTTTCAAAAATTAAAAAGTAAATTTATTATCAGTTATTATCACTAATATCACTATTCTTTAGTGTTATCCATGAACATTAGAGGAAGGACGCCAAACTGTGTATATAAAAGTGGTCCGGAATTATCGCATTCCGCCAGAATGCGCGTCGGACCGCAATGATGTCGTTTTTACATATTGTACAGCATAGGGAATTTATTGGTTTTTTAATATTATATTCTAAATGGTGTAACTTATGAATAATTACTATAGAACATTTTTTTAAAACCAAATTGCCCTCGATCGAATATATGTGTTTCCAATAATATACGACTTTTATAAAAAAAGATATAGTTGTTGTGTCTTTTTATAAAAGTCGTATATTATTGGAAACACTTATATTCGATCTTAGATCATATACAATGGATGGAGCTACTTTAATCATTTGCTGTGTCCAACATAACCTCCCACTTATTAGTTATTTTATAGTGATTGTTGGCAAAACGCATGCGTAATAACTCGTTGTACCTTGAAATTAAATGGGTGGTGGGGATGGAATGTAAAGCAGCATAGGCGCAACGCATGCGCAATAACTCGTTGTACCTTGAAATTAAATGGGTAGTGGGGGGTTATGTTGGACACAGCTCGGTATACGAAAAATACACACATAACTCCATCCATTGTATATGATCTAAGTATTCGATCGAGGGCAATTTGGTTTTAAAAAAATGTTCTATAGTAATTATTCATAAATTTCACCATTTAGATTATAATAATAAAAAACCATTAAATGTCCTATGCTATACATGTAAAAACGACATCATTACGGTCCGACGCGCATTCTGGCGGAATGCGATAATTCCGGACCATGTTTTTACGCTTCGTTCTGCTGTGTTCGGCGTCCTTCCTCTAATGTTCATGGTGTTATCCTATAAAAAACGTAGTTCGTACTACTAACAGACAGAGTGCAGTTACATCGCATGTGTACGAACCTTGTACAACTTTGTGTCCGTGATTTTCTCTGTAGTGTCCAGTCCTGTGTAGTAGTTCATGATTCTAACCATGACTAAATAGATAGGTATGATCACATCGGTACGTGTTCTCGCCCATTCCAGCGCACTACGCCTATTGTAGTTTTCGTTATTTCATTGGTCCAATAATTTTGGCGCCAAACATTTTATAATATTATGTAAATATTACATGATACTGTGTTGATACACATAAGTTACATAACTAATAACTAATAACTATATAATGAATTCCAAATTAATCATATCACAATATCCATTAGGTACCTATAACGCGTTATACACCAACAACAAACCCTGATACTATCATAGATATATAGTAGTATACTTTAGAAGTTTCAAGTAGGTACCCACAAAAATATTATACAATCACAACAAAATAACTAAAATAGTTATTCTAGGTTTTTTATTATGTAATTTCGTCCAAATTTGAATTTAAAATGTCTGTAAAAAATATCTGTGTTCATATATTTTTTAGATTTTTTGGTTACAGTATGAACTATTTATGAGAACATTTGTTTTAAATTTGCAATCCTTAGCTATGAAAACTGAACATTTTATAATTTATTAATTACAATGATTGATAACTTTCGAGATTTTGATAAATGTTGTCAAAATTCGATCTTTAAATGCTTATAAAAAAAAATTGTGCCTATGTATTTTTAAAATTTTTCAGTTGCTATTGTAACAATCTATCAGGAGCCTAGTATTAAATTTTTACACTTTTGGCCCAACAGATAAAACTTTATTGATATTTATAGAAAAAAAAACTAAAAAAATTGAAAACTGAAAATGTCTGTAAACAGCTCAAAAAAAGTCAAAATATTTTCAAAATTGTACAGTGTATAGAAAATGCTAATATGAACATTCAGTGAAATTTTCATGTATCTACAGTTAATCGTTTTTGAATTACAACAAAATAAGGAAATCGCTACATGAGAAATCGAGTGAATATCCAATGTTGTAAAAATTTGAATTTCAAACGCTCATAAAAATTTAATTTGACTTTCTTATAGACATTTTTTTTTCGGTAAAGGTAGATAATCTTATAAGGAATCTTGTATTACATTTTCAAATCTTAGATTTAAAAAGAAAAATTTTTACGAATTCTTAATTCAAAATAATTTGCTAATTTTCATGATTTTTCCATATTTTGTCAATTTTGAACTTTAAATGCTTATAAAAAAAATTGTGACTAAGGATTTTTAATATTTTTCATCTGCCTTTGAAACAATATACTAGGAGCCTTCTATTAAATATCCAAGCTTTCGCAACCAACAAATAAAATTTTATTGATATTTTTAGAAAAAAAACTAAAAACAAATGGAAAATAAAAATGTCCCTAAACAGTTCAAAATAAATCAAAATATTTTGAAAATGTTATCGTGTATAGAAAATGCAAATATAAACAACCAGTGAAAATTTCATGTATATACGTTCATTTGTTTTAAAGTTACACCAAAAACCAAAATCGATTTTTTGGAAAACTGATTTTGCGTAAAAATTCCCGTTTTTCCTTAATTTTTATGTTGTTTTTCCCGGCGCTTGTAAAAACTACTAGGACAAATAAAAAACACGCACAACAAATTAGACGATATAAATAATTAAATATTCTATGAAATATTAAAATATTATAATATATATGTAAAGACAGTAGGTATAACTGGACAAGTATTATTATATTCATGTATGTCAAATCTACATAATATTACAGATAAACATAACGTGACGTAGGTATAATAATTATTGTAAATAATAGTGGTAGGTATCGCAAGCCTGCAGTACTGATGCATACATTTATAACAAATTAGATTCCATAGACTGAAAACATCATGTCAACCACGCACGTTCAGTTGGCTATTTACAGTATCTGGATTTTCAAACTCCCTCACCATTGCATATTCCTCTTATTATTACTGACGCACTGATAACAATTTAGTATTTACTGCTTATTTTTCCGATAATAGACAATAGATATTTTTCTAGTTCAGACAGTATAATAATATTAGTATAGGTATTCACTATATTATTCTAATAACCTTGATTCTAGTCAATATCACTATCACAAATCACAATCGTCAATCGTATACAAATTATTAGTTGGCCATTATGTACAGTTATTGAGTTTTTCATAAATGTAAAATGGCCAACTCAAAAGTTAAGAA